GGTGTGCATCCACACCGCCTTAACCGAAACCCCGGGGACCAGGTATCTCCCGCTCTGCCCGCACGGCGAGCCTGGCCCCGGCATGCGGGATCCCCGTCAAGAGTCTGAGCGAGTGGGCTTGCCTCCTTCGCCCCTCCGCTGGGAGCCTTACGTGGGAGCGGCCTGGGGGGACCTTCCCCTCCGTGGGTCAGGGGGAGCCGCCCCGAACGCAGCCGTAGGTTTGCAGACCTCCGCCTGTGAGGCTTTTACTTGGCAGGCGTCCCCGCCTGCTCGGGTGCTGCTGAAATAGAGATGTTGGTTTTAGCGGGGACTTTTGTTGTTTTGTTTTCTTTTCAAATGAAAGAAAAAACAACAACAATTAAAAAAACCCCTTCTGCTGGCAGAAGAAGAAGACGCCATCCAATTAGAAAAAAAGAAAACAAAACCCCACCGCTCTTAAGTGCCCATCTTGGAGGGGCTCAGGGCGAATGGAAACTCGAGGCTCTTTTAAGTCAGCAGAGAGGCTGCAATTTCTCCTGCGGTAGCGGCCAGATTCTCCCCCGAGCCAAGCGCCGCGCCGAGCCCTCCCGAGCCCAGCCGCGACGGGTCGAGCCGAGGCTCCCACCCTCCCCGCCTCCCCACTCGGGTCCTGTGCCGGTGACACCCGCGGGGAACGTGTCACCCCGGCTGCGCTCGGGAAGCCTCGGATTCCGGCGAGAGAAAGCAGAGGCTTTAATTGCGGCAAACGAGCGCGATGTCCTCTCTCTTCAGTCTGTTTCGCCTTCGTTTATTTTTAGCACGCTTCAAATGCCTACACATTTCCCTTGTTGCGATCAGTGCAATTATTTACTCTACCTTTAGGGATGCGTTTACCCAAGCATTGAATGGAAGTGTAGTAAACACTGCGCAAAGTCAATGCAGTTATTGAGGTTTATTTAATAGGAAAAGAAGTAAATATCTCGGCTTTACTTGTTTCTTCAGGCAGCCTCGTTATCTAGAGTAGATTGCAAGGAGAGTTCTTCACTCGTTCCCGTGTAATGAGATTGCTTTATATGTTTATCGCGTATCTGTATCTAGCTACAGCCTCTTTTGTCAGGGTCTCAACGGGCTATAAAAACAAGTCTAAAAGTTAATTTAGAAAGGTAATCCGGAGGGATCCATTATCTGATCTCTCTATAGAAACTCAGCTAGGCGAGGTCCCGTATCTGAGGGCGTAAAAAGAAACAGGCAAACAGAGCATCGCCTCCAGCAACGTGAATTCCGCCGGCATCCACCGTCCGGAGCGGGAAAGCTCTTGACGCCGAGCGCGATTTCGCTGGCGGAGTGAAACTGCTTTGCCCGGTTAACTGGTCCCAGTCTCACCACGACGCTATCCTCCACCTCCACCCCGCCAAGAATTACTTTTATTTTTCGCGAGTGGAGATCGCCACCTTTCTCCACCTGTTTGCCCTGACCCCTCTCCCCGCCGAGCATCCTTCGCACGGAATAAATGCAGGAGGAAGGGACGGGGTGGGGGAGGCGGTGAGAGCACATTAGATATCTGCAGCATGAGACGCGGGAGGTATCCCGGGGTTCTGACAGCTGGATCTGAAACAAATCAGATCTGGATTAACTTGCCTGTTTTGTGAATTGTCTGAATTTGAGCAAGCAGCCCTCACCCACTCCGCTTCTGGCAGGTTTTGTTACACGTGCCTCTATAAATATATTATCCCAACCCTCTTTCCTCGTCGGAGCTCTCTGTTCAGCAAAACAGAAACCAGAACGAGGAGAAGCGATTTTCTTTTTTAAATGAAGACGTTTATAAGTAACCTAATTTCGTATCGTGGAAGTAAATTTCATGCTAGGATATATTTTGCACAACATGTAATCTTTTAGAGCCGGAAGACATTTAATTAAAGCCATATTCGGAGAAGTACAGCTTAAAAGCAGTCATACGACCACATACCTCATTCATATTCAGGATCCGTCCGCGAATTCATATTGTTTTAATGTGGGACATCGCCTTTACGGCATAACTCTGCGAGGCCTGGGCAGCGTGAGAGATAACACAAAGGAGAGCAGACAAGGACCAGCACGGGGTGCTTTACCAGGCGGAGAGGTGTCTGTTTAACCCAAAGACCACCGCTTTCTGCTTCCCGGCTCCCGACTTTCGATCGGAGGAACTCCCGGCAACGCACATGCCGTAGCTGGGGGCTGGGGGGAGAGGGAGAAGCCCGCCGAGGACGGGCCGAGGTTAAGCATCCCGAGCTGGGTGCCCCCGCTTCGTTTCCGCACGCTGCTGCCCACTCACGTCGCCTTGGGGAACACGTGCGGGGGGGCAAGGTTTGATCACGCCCTTCGCAATCCCCCCAGGAGAAGGTCGGGGGTCCCTTGGCAGCCCCATTGCCTACCACTTCGGGCTGGTCTGGAAGCGGGCACGCAAACCCACGCACCCTGTGGCTAAAAGGGGATCTTTGGAGAAAGAGGGCACGGCGCCCTGCCGGCACCACCGTTCACGGGCGTCTGTGAACTTTTGATCGCACCCACGCCGCTTGAACGGAAAACACAAGTTTCCGCGTTCAAGCTTTTGCCTCATCTCCTGCTCGGCTGTTTGATTATCCGAATGAAGATCAGGGGCCCCGGAGGGAATGGGGGTGCGGGAAGGGAATAGCCCAGCCCCAGGGTGAGAGAGGAGCTCCCGTCCGGCTCTCCGCTCTCCCCGCGGTCTGCGGGGCTCGGGTGCCGCCTGCCCCCGGTCCTTCCCGGCTCCGCCGGCGGGGCACCGGCTCTTTCGTTGAAATAACTCGTAAAAACCGCCCTGAATTCGGTGCGAGTCGGATCGAGCCCCCCGCACTAATTCTCTCTATGCGAACTTCTGTCTAAGCGGCTGCGTGCTCCCTCCACCCTTCCCCCCGCCGCCCCGGGGGCCGCCGGTGCGAGAGGCTGGTTTTCGGGGAGCCGGGGGACTTGTGCGCTCCGGGGTCCTGTCAGCAAGCGCCTTTCTTTTCTTCTCGAAAGGGGTGGCAAAGTACTTCCAAAGGCGCGGGGAAAAGCGAAGCGAAATAATTTCCCCCCAAACAAATAGTGTGTCCGTCCCGTCCCCCCCCCCCCCCCCCCGCCCCGCAAAACCAGGACACCCCCCCCCGGCCGCCCCGCCTAGCGTTGGGGCTGCTTCGTTTCAGAGGGGATAAAATTCAGCGGCCAAATCAAATCAGAAAGGTTCTGGTTAGTTTCCCTGTAGTGGTAATTAAAAGTATTAATTGGTTGTGTCGACAGCTTAAAAAGACAGGTGTTGCTAAAAAAGCCTCATTAATCTTCCAGTCATTACTGAGCGGCGGTGGGAACCGGGCTGGGAGAAGGAGCCGATTGTTTACAAGGGTCTTTCAAGGTTTAAGAATGGAGATTATAATAATACCACTACTAATCGGACGACTTTCTCCATTCCTTTGAAAAATGAAAATAAATCAAACGGTCTGCCTGCAGCCCTCAGCTAGACTAGGGCAAGAAGTCCTTCGTGGACTTCGCCGCGTTTAAAATAGTCTTTAAAGGGTTCGCTTAATTTTACATGCATATATTTGGATAAAAAATGAGGAAATCGGTTCATGCTTTGTGTCTTCGGGTTTTTTTTCGTCCGGTGGCCTGTGGCCTGTGGCTAAAGCAAGTTTTATACAAGTTTTCAGGACATCGATCTAAACTTCAAAGGTTCTCACTAAACCGGCTCTGGACTGGTCGTGCTGCCTCCTCCACCGTGCAAAGCCGGAGCCGGTGGTAGCGTAGCCCATGCGTGTGAGTTTTTTTCGTCCGGTGGCCTGTGGCCTGTGGCTAAAGCAAGTTTTATACAAGTTTTCAGGACATCGATCTAAACTTCAAAGGTTCTCACTAAACCGGCTCTGGACTGGTCGTGCTGCCTCCTCCACCGTGCAAAGCCGGAGCCGGTGGTAGCGTAGCCCATGCGTGTGAGAAGGAGGAAAGGAGGAAAATCAGGCCCCTGGCATGAGACCCGACACCGGCTTCTTAAATGGGCGATTTGGGGCGGGTTTTTTGTTTGTTTCTGGAGGGCTGCTTGGCCGTGCCCGGCGAGCAGACCACCGGGAGCGGCCGAGCAAGCTTCCCCGAGGGAAGCAGAGCTGC